ATACACAATCCTGCCCCACTAATAAAAAAAATCTTTTGGCAAACTAGCAAGTGTTTGCTGTGTTCACATGTATCCAAAACCACTGTCCCACAAGAGGAGGTTTGGTTCTCTCTTTCATGGAAAGCTCTCATACTGCAACCAGAGCAACAGAGCAGTGAAGCAAACACTGTGGTTCCTGGCACCCTCACATCTCCCGTTATCAGACATGTGACAGCTGGCCTATCAGTCACCCTTTGCACTGTCTGTTTTCCACAGCATGCAGGAGGGCGGAGGCGAAAAATGTGAGAAGCATCTCAGAAAAAAAAAAAGAAAGTCAAACGTAAAATCCATCTTATTCATGCACTCACCTGATTCCACCTTCCCTTTCTACTATTACCCAACCTCGTCTATCGTGGCACTTCCCTGAAGCACAACATCAGTGGGAGGTGAGGAGAACTTTCAGATTCAACTCCTGTCATGGTTTGCCTTTCAGCATCTTGGGTGAAGTCTTTTCACTAGAAAGCTGACAGGGGATCATTACAAGATTAGGAAAGTCATGCCTTTGAAACCAAAAAAAAAAAGGGATTTGGAACAGCTGCGGACTCCCCTGTGTGAGCACAGCGGAGTTGAACATGACAGAAGTATAAGCCGTGGTTGAAGATAACCATCAACCATGTGAAATCCCTACAAGCTAGTGGAACAAACTATTCACATTACGGCTCCATTCCAGGGACTGATTTATGTGATCAGATCCCAGTAGAACTGATACAGTTATAAGTGAAATGTCAAAAGCACCATAAATGACGACATTTACTGTTCGCTGCCTTGCATTTCCTAAAAAAAAAAAAATAACTGAACACCTAAACATACCAACAATACAGCTGAATTGTGAGAACTTCTGAAATATTCAATAAAGGACACAAAGAGAGTTTCTGTTTTCAGAATTGTTATGCTGTGCTCTGGAACAAACTCCCTGAAACACGAGAAAGAACATAAAAAAGTGAGGAATCATCAATCAGATTTACGAACACAATATTGACATTTACACTTTGGTTTTATCCTGGCGAGGACAAACACAGGATGGAAGCATAAAAATCTGTGATTTATGTGAAAGAGAGCAAAACCTTCATGACCAGTACAGTGCTGCCTGCAGACATTTTATAAACTGTATGTGGGAACTGGAAATGCTCTCCAGCAGTTGTGTTACTAAAAATCTAACTTAAAAAAAAAAAAAAAAAAAAGCAGTTGTGTTTGGTTTAGACCAATGATTGTAAATGCCTCAGGGTGCCATGTTTGCTCCCACCACCGCTTGCAAAAATCTAATTCCAATTCCCCACAAAGGGAATAATACAACACAGCATACAATGTTTTCATTCCAGAGGATTTTGATTAAACTGACGCAATGTGTTTAATCAGAATTTAATTTTATTACAACCTCTTTTTTCAGCAGTAATGGTTTCTTATTTACAAAAAACACTAATGTTGTGCTCATGTTGTCATGTTGCTTGTAAACCTAGAAGATGTTGGACATGAGCGGTGGCCGGTGAGGATGAAAACATTCCTGACAGGAGCCATTTCAGATTGCTGGCCTGGCCTGAGAGCTCCCAGCAGCTCACAGCCTGGTGAGGGCTGCTCGCAGAGTGGCTGGAATGAATCATCTCAGTTAATGTGCTTCTTTGTTGAACACTTGGCACTGGCAGATCGCAGACCAAACATCTGACTGGGAGATGCTAGGACTTACATTTCCCCACAACTGAAAAGCAAATTATTAACTGATACGCATTTCCAGCAGTGGTGCGAACAACCCTCACAGTAACTGTACACATTGTTGTATCTACATAAGTTAAAGCTTTGTGAGAAATCTGGAGGCGTTTGAGTTGTGAGCATATTGGATTACAAATCAGTGAGACAGCCATCTAATCACAAAGCATTGCATTAAACAGTCCATTAGATTTACAAAGGTAAGACTACCAATAAAAAATCATGTGTATTTCACTTAGAAGTTGTACCCCTGACATTTGTAGTTCAGTCCGTTCGGATTTATGTGTTTTAAAGCAACTCATCCATCCTAAACTTCTGGTCTGATCCTTACAACACTCTTAGCAGTAGTTACAATAAAGACTCTGACAGGAAAAACCTTCTGGCCAACAGTTTTCTTCATCGCCTCCAGAGAGAAACTTTAATGCAGTAGGTGACCTCCCAACCAGGCAACACACTTCGATATAAAATTGCAAGTAAAGAAAACGCAACTGTCCAATCTCCTCGCGCTTTCTCAGGATGTGTGCCAGAGCAAGACGTGTATACACGGAATAACAGGTCTTTCACAATAAGAAACCCAATCAATGCCGGTAACTAAACAGCTCCTACCCAAATGTGTACAGTATGAAGTCACCTCGCTGCAAATTACACCAAACCACTCAACATCAACAAATTAAAATGCTGTTGTGGATCCAGCACTAAGGAAGCAGAAGAAAAAATCTCACTGAAGAAAGCAACATCTGTGTGCCGTTCAGACAGTGCTTCAAATGGTCTGTTTCTTTAATTGCAGTGTGGAGCCGTTGAGCACTGGGATGCCTATATGTCACATTAATCCACTGTGCTGTGGTTGGCACTCAACCTTGCCAGAGGAGGGATTAGAGCCCGAGAGGTGTTCACAACACGTGTTATCAATAGAGCACCAGTTGCTTCGGGTATGAAGACAAGGTGCCTATGAGCAGCGCTGCGATTCACAACTGGTGTTTTGTGACAGTCAGCGTTTGCCATCCGACCAGCGCTGATTTCCTTCAACTTCACCCAAAGCCAGGCGAGTGTCACTGATTAATGTATTAAATTCCTCAGGGCTGATCCTGGCTGATGCCAAATGAGGCAGACCGGCTTCCAGCCGTACTAAAGAAAACATCGCACAACCTCTATAATTCTTTGGAGACTATGAGGGAACAGAACAGTTATTTTTCCCCTTTTCATCGGAGCTCAGAGCCAATTTTCTGCCCATCAGAGTTATGTCATTAACTGTGTTTGTCCTTAAAGTAAAACTAATGACTTTGACACAAGTCCAGGTGGTTGGTAGGTTGGTTTGGAGAGACGCAGTATGTGTCAAGGTAAGAAACAGAAGGATGGGAAAGCTTGTGAATCAGTTGTCAAATGAAATAATGAGCAGAAGCTGCATTGATATAAATTTGTTTTAGTAAGAAAATTGTTTGTATGTAGAATGTAAAGTAGGTCTCCTGCCTCCTTCATCATACAAAGATGACCCAACAAACACACTATAGTACCTGTACATGGTCATCGGCCAGCATGGCACATTAGACAAACCCCATCCCAGATGTTTCCTCTATAGAACCATAACTCATTTACACTTGTCGATGGAAAGCATTCAGACAGGTCTGGCACTCCATTGCAATTCAAAAGGGGGGATTTCTTAAGCAAAAGAGGTGTTTTCTGGGCAGAGGCATTAAATGGGTGGATTGGTTGTTAATGAGGTTCTTGTTACTCACAGATAATTTACCCTTGGAACGAACCCAGACGTTTTTTTGTTTTTTTTAGGCTACAGTGCACAGACACAGATGGAACCAGTATGGGCTCCAAAGAAATGTTTGATATGGATGGATTAGACACTCACTGGAGATCAAAGTCGTGCTGCTAAGCCAGTATTGATATTTGTTGGCTCCTTTACCTGCTATATATTTTGCCTGAAAGCACCTCGAAATCTCAACAGAAATACAGCTGGTGCAGAAGAGAAGAAATGATAAATGAGCTCTGAGACGGAGAGAAGAAAGGAGTTTTTTGATGACACAATCTACAGCCTGACAAAGATAGACCTGGTAAACTTTGTCACTGAATTAAAAAAAAAACAAAGGCAACTGAAACAGCTATGGACAAAATGTTCATTTTAGGAATCTAACAACTTCATCAAACAGCGTCTGAAAGGCCACTTGGACACTGGAAGATAAGAAATATAAACATCTGTGACTTCTAAGCAAATAAATACAACAAAAAATGGACTCGACTGCAGCATACCCAGCCCCAGATGATTAACATGTTTTCCAGTTGGGGGCTGAATAATTCAGGGAATCTCAGCCAACACACAGACCGAGAACCAATCGAAGCCGTGCAGAAGGAGGAGAAAAAGCAAACTCACTAGCTGAATGATAGTGGGAGGAAAGGCACGCTCACAACCTCGCTCCCTCTCCGTCTCATGCAGATAAGACACGACTTCAAACTGCACTCGAAGCTAACCCTTCAAATCGCTGCAAGAGGAGTCCTGCTCAGAGCTTTCAGCATATCTCTCACATGCAGTCTGTCCACGCAGGAGTTCATCAGGGGTGAATTTAAACTATGAGGTTTTACAAGGTAGAAAGTAGGGCCAGCTGGAGCCTCTTCCTCCTGACATTTTGGAGGATCTTCAGCCATGTAAACACACATGTGCACAGGTGTGTGCATGTAGGAGCCAATTTCAGCACCAAAAAATGCATTTAAAAACCCATATTTAGAGCAAAAACAACTTAACAACTTACAGCTTAAATGTAGGTTGCACAAATGCTCATAACATTGTCAGGGCTGCATTTTTCTAAACTTGTGATGCAGATTTATCTATTTTAAAGACAGCTACTTTGCAGCAAGGAGTCATGTGACAAATGTCATGTAAATATAATGCAAAGAACAACCTGTTTTGCATAAATTATGGTGTCTACTTCAACAGTGATGAGATGGAATTTTACCACAAAGAGATTCAATAAAAATACAGATCAAAGTCAGTATACTAAAATCACCAAACCAAATACAACGTGTGTGGGACACTGCACCAGATTACAAATAATATATAGTTTATTTCTTGTATAAAAGGTTTCACTAAACATTGGTACTCTTTGATAACTTTTAGCAAATGAGCATCAACAAAACTCTGAATTACCCAAAATGTTTAGTTTTATATCTCTGAGGAACACACAAAAAGTGCACCTGCTCTAAGTCTGTGACTGATGCAGCAAAGATTAGAGCTCCGTTCACCTGCAGCACTCACTTACCTCCTTGTAGAGAGGGCTGAATCAGTGCTAGGAGGAAGAGTCCACAGAAGAGCAACAGAATGTTTCTGTTAGCCATCTCGCTCCAAAATGCACCACCCCTCTCCCGATCAGCTGGTTTTATTCTCTCCTAGCTAATTACCACTACTAGCCCCGAAGTCTCAAACGGTGGGTGAAAAAAAAAAAGAAAGACGTGAAAAAGATATGGGAGTTGGTGTAATTAAAGGAGGGCAAAGACTCTGGTTCAATGGATCACTTTGCTTTTTTCCTCCTCTATGTCTGGTGTTGCTGTTTTTATTCTGGTCACTCCTGCCAACAGCACAGACGCTGTTGCCAGCAAAGGAAAAGAGAGAGAGAGGAAAAGAGACACTCGCACAGACAGAAAGAGAGCGAGAGAGAGACCCCCCCCTTCATCCAGAAGGAATTGAACTGTCTGCCAAGCATTCGCATGGATATGGAGCGTACTTATCTGTAACAGTCAAGAAACAGAGTGAGGAAGAGCAAAGCACATACCGGGATAATTACCTGATCTCTGCAGCTCTAATTTTCAGCTCATTGGCTTTCAACGCAAGTCAGTAACATTAGCATTTGATTTTTTCTTTTTTTTTTTGCTCCTAAACAAGTCATCCAGAAAACTTTGAGGCAAGTGAGAAGAGAAAACAGCAACTATCAGCATGTGTTCGCAAAAAAAAAAAAATAGGAACAAGACATTACAGTGTCATTGGCTCCATGAATAATCTGGAAATGGCTGCGCCTGGCAATCCGTGAGTGGAAGGAAAGAAATGAGAAAGCTGTCGGCATCACACAGAGCAAAGAAACATCAGGTTTTTAGTCTAAGCGGCCACTCAGCCAAAGCGTCTGGATGATTGTCACATTTGGTCATGTCAGAGGGGTTTTAATGACTGATAGAGCTGTGCTTTCGTAAACAGGAGCTGATAGTTTTGACCCTTGTTACATCAATCTTCACACCACACGGATTCTTTATTCAGTCCACCATATGTGCTTTTAACAGGAACAGCCACATCCTTTAATATTTCTTTTATGGCTTTCCAGTGTCTCAAAGTTGTGCCAAAACAAGTCCGACCCGTATCACTACACCTTTATTTCCATGTGGGAAAAAGTTTTCGCCACATTTTTGCAAGTAAGGCAATGATGAAAAACCTCCTACTTCTATTCATTTACCAAACATACTCACTTTAGGACATCTTCATTACCTCCTGACTGATTAACCATTTCGCAGATATTAGATCAACGCAGCATTTGTAGTGGAGCTTCATCACTAACAGGATACATCCTTTCCACACACCTGTGCGCCGACTCATCTTGGCTCAACATGTCGAGCCATTACTTACAAAACACCTCACCGCCGACAGCGCTGACATTGTCCATCTTTTGTTCTGTCCTGGGACACATTTTTGGGATTTCAAGTAGAAGAGGTTGTGCAGAGGTGCTTTTTTTTTCTCTTTTACTGGCACGAGCTGCGGCCAAAGTCATTATTCTCTCAGACACAAACCTGACAGACCGGGCTGTTGCATGCATGCTAATGGCTTCTGCTTTCCAAGACACACAGTATCCTTCATAGTAGTGACGTTCACCATTAGCACTCATATTCCCTCATGTTGATTCCCTTGAAGTTATGTCAGGCATGCAAACAATATCAGCTGTTAAAGGTTTGTTCAGACTGAAAGCATATTTTCACTTGAATTATGAAGTAGAGTCATACAGCCATGGATAAGCTTGACTTTTTCGGCCAAGTAGAAATTATTTCCATTTGTGCCCAAGCATCTTCTCCGCAATTCCTGCGTCTGCTATAACTTACCTTTGTCATGCCAGTAATTTACCTCTTTAAGGTGAGTGCCAGCACACCTTTAGATGCCTATGGACAGTATACAACCTTTGTGTTCTCAGCTATTTAGGCCAGTCATAAAATAAGTCCTTTTTTTTGTAACCACAAACAAGATGTAAGAACCTACCTGATGTGTGAAAACTAAAGGAAGCAAATCATTATTGCTGGACTGTCGCACATCATGGGAAATATACGAATAGTGGAGGCAATTCTGCATTCAACTAGAAGTAACAGCAAAGTAAAAATACTCCATTGCAAGTGAAAGTCCTGTAAGAAACATCCTACTTAAGTAAAAGTACATGAGTAACAGCAACAAAATGTAGATATTAAGATATTAAAGTAAAGCCCTGGTTTGGTAACGCTGACTGATGAATTGTAATGCATGACATCATTAGATTACTAATACTGAAGTGTCAGCATGTCAGCAGCATGTTGCTGTTGTAGCTGCTGCAGGTGGATCGACTTTGAACTGTTTTATATACAGTTTTATATACGGGGACGGCGGATAAATCTAAGAGCACGTCAGATGATTAATGGCAGAGGGAAGAAGAAAAAACAAAGTTCTGATACACAAATCTGTTTTCAGTTTCTGGACTTTGTGTCTAATCTTTGATTTTTTGGTGAGATATTGGACCATTTGAGCAGTTATTGAAATAAGATCACAGGAGACATTTAGAGGGAAAAAATACTATTTGGTGAAGCTGTTAACAGCTCATAGACATCTGAAATGTGACCTGGACTACACGCTGCTTTTTGGAAGACAAAAAAGTTGGAAACCACTGATTTAATCTTTAACAATCTGTTATATTTTAGAAGCTTGCATTATCATCTATTTAGAAAAATCTTTATCTTGGAAGCTACTAAAGCTGTCCGATAAATGTAGGAAGGTTAAAAAGTACAATATTCCCCTCGGAAATGTTGAGGAATGACTGTAAAAAGTGGCAAAAAATGGAAATACTGAAGTACAAGTACCTCAAAATTGCATGCAAGTAGAGTTTTTGAATAAAATGTGCTTGAGTCACCTAAAAGTCAGATCCCAACTTAATTGCTCATTACCTAACTTGTTATTCTCAAAATGCTGTCGGGCACACAAAGGTGGCAGCACCACATGAACAAACATCACATAATTGCATGTAAACAAATAAAGTTGGGGCAGCAGGTAAATACAATAATCTGCAAGATTTGGATATTAACTCAGCGGAACAGGTTTGTTTATACGCTCACTAAATTGTTTAAATTTGATTAAACAGCTACATTTTTTTTCGCTATTCTCAGAGCATACTTAAGATGCCATTGTGTTCCTGCGTCCTACCAAACCATTTACAGCGAAAGATAACTTCAAATATTCCTGCATCATACATACTGGAATTTTAATTTCGTCAGTGAATGAAGACATCTGTTTTCTTCATTAAACTCATCAGGTACATGAAAAAAAACACACACACACCGAACAAGTCAAAAAACATGGAAAAACTGGAACTGTTCTCGACTTTTATGATTAAAGTAAATCATTAATTACAATCCAAACATCAGGAGGACACTGACCTAATGCTGTAAGATGTTTTGCATGGTACTATTCTTTCCATGTTTGATTTAAGACCAAAAAAGCCCAGCTGACGAGTCTGTTTGGGAAGTGAAAGTGTATTCTGGATGAGACCACTGTTTTTCCCCAATTTATTTGCGAGTCTAAATGTCTATTTTAGCTCATGTCTGGTATTCCTCCTTTGGCCTGCGTGCGATGGTGTTTTTGCCAAAAAAGCAGAGATTGAACATAGACTTTGGTGAAGACTGTGGAGAGGTGACACAGAACTAACTGTCATTAATTTAACTATAAACTTCTGGCTCTGTTTAACACTTATGTTTGACAAGCCGTAATTTCTTTTTGCCTTTTACCAGATGGAAAAAAAATTATTTAGAATTTATAGTTTGTGGTATAGTCTGTACAGTAGCGTTGCTTCAGTTACCGAGCGTGACCTTGGTCATGATTGAAAAATGTGCTAGATAATTAGTTTCACATAAACTTGCTGTAATTACCGCATGATTTATCAAACATTTAACTTTTTAAGTTTTAAGGGTGATTCTTCAGCCAAAGTGTTTAAATGTGGATAGAAATTAATGGAGAAACACGAATTTAATCAAGGTTTTTCTTTCGCTGACCAATCATACCAACTGATGGGGAGCCTGCTAACATAAAGCTCAAGAGGAGGATTTGCTTCATACATCTAACTCTTTCTGAGAGTTTGGATCCTCTTTATGTCACATTACATCAACTGACATGCTGCAACGTTCAGATTTTCACACTGGAACAAATACTCTTAACCAAGGATTAGAAAAGGCCCTTCTTTGAATGGCTCTGGCACAGTTGGCAAAGCATCAAAATAAAATCCACTCTGACGTTTGGCTTTTGTAGAAAGGAAATGAAGTGATAAAGATAAAGAGGTCATTGCAACAGACCCTATCAACTCACTAAAAAGAGAAGTATATTAAATTCCAAGCCACTGAGGCTGTATTCACTAATTACTTCCCTGCTCTAAAACTTAATGACCACATTTCCTCTGCTGCGGAACAATTTCAGAAAAGCCATGCAACTTAAATCACTTGGAATATCCCATTTGAGCTAACATCGGTCCACACACAGCAGGCGGTGCTCCAAAAACTCATCTTCAACACCAGATTGTTCGGATCAATCTGCTTGATTGAGTCTAAGAGAGCTGCCAGTGTTGCTATGATAGTCTAAATTGCTGGTTTAGTTTTAAATATGAACCATTTCCAAAATTTCAAACATTTTCTCCCCATCCCCTTACATTATACATCTGCCAAAGTGACACAGAAAGTACTGCAGTAAATGTTTCGATATTAGGCACAGGAGGACTTTCTGTCAGTAATAAATGTCAGGCACAATTACAGCTGAAACTGTTGCGTTTCGGTGATGTAAACTGGTCAGAGTTCGACAAGATTTGCAGGAGAGAGATAGAAATGCTGTTTTTTTCACAACAAATCTGCTTCTATACAGAATTCCGCTGCAATATCTAGTGTGTAGATGTGGAGTGGTATTTTTTACCAGCTATAAAGAAGGAATACAAAATATATTAAGTAACTGACAAAATGTTATCATTTATACAGATCAGAATTAGAAAATGCAACACCTTAAGTTGCTGGCACTCACTGGTTACACCTACATTTGTAAAGACCATGTATATCATGGCAGTCCTAAATTTTCAATGGGTCCTACAACTCTTAATTTTCTGTTATTGAATCACTGAAGCACGTGTCACAAAAGGGATTTTGATGGAGTTTAGGTAAGGACTTTGAGGAGGCCAGTCTCAAACCTAAATTCTAGCCTGATTTAACCATTTCTTTATCACTTTTGATGTCTGTTTGGGGCATTGTCTTGTTGGAACACCACACTGCATTCAAGACCCAACCTTCTGAATGAC